CTTGTTTTCTGAAATACCTATCTATAAAAGTTCTTTTGGTACAATAAAATCAACTTTGATTTTTCTCAACTTTCTTTGGTTTCTCGACGTTACAGACATGCGCTCTTAAACAACCAAGGTTTCAAGGTTTTTCAAGGTTTCAAGGTTTTTTATTTCCCTGAATGAAAATTTTATACTTTACATCACTGTTAAGAAATTTAACTGGGAGGAGCAGAAGAAAACAACCCAAAAGGGTTAAGAAGAATAATTCTGCACCTTGAAACTATATAATACTTTCAAATAAGAACTTACAAGGGGGAAAGTAGCAAACTAAAATAGATTCAATACACATAAAAAGTTATAATAAAGTGAAGTTTGAAATAAATTAAAGTAGGAAATAAAGTTACATTAACTAAGGTAAGACCTAAATACAATCAAAATCCTAAAGCAACAGATGTTTTTTAAGCTTATTTTTAAAGACTTCATGTGAAGTACTGGTTTTTATATGTAGTGGTATATCATTCCAGCTTGTGACTGCTGCATATTTAACCATTATAACATAAGATRTAACGCGCGCTCTTATTGGCTCCGCATCTATGAAGGAAAAAATTAATTTGGTGAAGATTCGGTGAAAATTTCAAGTATTCTAATAAAACTAAAAAACACTAACTAGTCTACCTTTCTGTACATTTAATTAAAGATAAAATATAATTATTGAGTTCCTTTCCATAAAAAGTTCATAGCGTATTTGTTTGAACTCAAGTTTGTTTCGCTACAACACTCGCTCTTCCATCGGCCAGCTTACTGCAGCGAAGTCGAGAAGTCTTGCAGGTTTGGAAGTCAATTAGTTCAATTTTTCTCGCTCAATCCGCCGTACAGGTCACCACAGCAGTCCAGCAAAACACCACGATGGTTACTGGAGTCCAAGTAAAGCCACTGGTGCAATCTTTCGACTCAGGCCCCGTCCACACTATGCCGGATAAATTTCAATCCGAATTTTTATCTATTCGGTTAGGCCTACCGTCCACACTAGTCCGGGCGAATCAGGAACAATTCTTCACCGAAMACGATTTTTCGAATACGGTCTCCAGAGTGGAACAATTTGAAAACGCCGGCTAAACATATTAGTGTGGACGGAGAACATTTCGTATCCGAAATTTTTCGAATACGATGACGTCATGATTGTCATGGGAGCATGGCGGGAAGGCTAAAAATTCACCCCGGAATCAATTTCAGCTTCGATGCACATGCTCAGATGTGCAATGAAGCGTTTTTGCCGCCTCTGATCGAACTAGTGTGGACGCGAAACATTTTATCCGTTTTCTTGTGTGGACGGAAAACTTTTTTTTTCGGTTTCGGTGTGAAAGTTGCGTATTCAAATTTATCCGGCATAGTGTGGACGGGGCCCTCAGTTTTCAAAAAATATACGGTTCAAATTGCTCAGATTGTGATGCAGCCAAGCTTCAACAAAGGTCGCTAATTTGATTTCTCCTCGGTCACTGAAAAACTGTCTTGTGAATGAAAACGATTAAACTTCATTTATGAACTGCTTCCCTTGCATGAATTTTCCGCGAAAAGTTTTAAAATTAAATTTACAATACAAATTGAGCTTTTTTTGCTCCRAACACGAGACTTGACTGATTTCAAATTTTGCTCGAAAAGTATCATGCTCGCATCTTTGGAGAATCTGTGATTTGATCAGATCGAAATAAACAGTTTTTTATCGTTTAAGTCGTTCATTATGTTATAAAAGCAATGACCAATGATCTAGCAGTGCGTAAATCTATTTATGGTGCACTTGGATAGTTGGGAGAGCACTCTGGTAGCTAGAGTTACTCTTACGCTACTATCGTGCTCTCCCAACTATCCGCGTGCACCATAAATAGATTTGCGCAAGCTAAGCATTGACCATTGCTTGATTCGAACTAGCACCTGCAATTTAATATCCTTTGAAGACCTAACAGTCTTGTTTCGGAGAACTAAATCGTCTTTGCCTTTTAACTGAAATTATGGTGATCATCTGCTCCTATGGTCTGAAAGTGAAGACACTTTTTTGGACWCGAATATTTCTCACTTCAGCTTATGCAATTTTAGCCATACCGACAATCTTGCTGAATTCATCGGTTCTTGTAGCTATCTGGAAGACTCCCCCTCTACACAGACCATCACAAATCCTTCTGGCGAGCCTTGCTTTCACAGACTTGTTAGTTGGAATAATCGTTGAACCATCAGCAGTATTTGCCAATCTGGCAATAGTCAACGAGGGAATTACAAGTGATTCTTATTGTCTTGGTTGGATTATACTTGGCCCTTTACCCTTTTTCCTTGCCGCCTTTAGTCTTTTCACGTTAGCGATGATCAGCATTGACCGACATCTGGCTATCAAACTCAAGGTTACCTATAGGACAGTTGTCACTTTCAAACGTCTCATTTGCGTCCTCTGCGCTGGCTTATTCATTCAAAGTAGTCTTTACGCTATCGCTGTMATTTTAATCTTGAATAAAACGCCACCAAATACATTTATATTCTTAACCGCAYCATACATTATCGTCCTACTTTGCATCATAACGTTGTTCTATTCCATGGCATTCTACCATCTGAAAAAAGTATCTTCACAAGTGTCTACGAGCGACACCAGCGACCCTGTTTCCAATCCAACACCAACCTTTGATGTCAACAAATATCGACGATCGTTGCACACCATGGTCTTTATTCTTCTTGCAATCTTTTTTTCCTATCTACCGTATTTCTTCTTCGCAACTTTGGAAAGCATATTTAAGGAAGTGGCTCAGTTGACCCATTTAACTCGAATTGGAGAGCTTTTCCTAGCAATTAATTCGTTTATTAATCCTATATTATACTTATGGCGAATGGGAGACCTGAGACAAGCTGTTAAAGATACAGTTAAAAGACTTCTTAAAATATAGCACGATTTTCTACGAACATACTTCGCTGGCAAGTTTTAAAAAATTCAACTTCTTTGACCACATAGAAAAAAAAACAGGATGTTATGACTTGGAAGAAGAATTCCTTTTAAAAATTCTAAAGAAATCCAAATCTCATTGGGAGATATCAAGATTAACAAGTAGATTGAAGTAATTGCATATAAAATTCATTGGCTGAGAATAACAGATAAAAAGTTCCCAGATGTAAGCATTCAATTAATAATTAAATAAATAAACGGCCAATGAACCAATCAAAMACAAGTATYTYATGTAGATGTGGYATTCAACGAGAAAACCGACAGCGCGCGAATCACAAAGACTTAATAGAAATTTAACACTGAATCCCTGATTTTTCATGCGATCCAGGTGATTTCGATTCTATCGACCCGATCGAATTARCCAATCAGCAAACATTTTGTTTGTAACTCAATGTTTCCTAGCTCTAAGTTTTCGGCTCGATTAATAACAGCTTTTACTCATCCGTGTAAACATTCATCAAATATATTTAATGAATTCCCCAATGTTGGTGGAATATATTTCGTYTTTACGAGAGATAATAGAAAGGTAAAAAAAATGGACTTTTTTTTATTCCACAAAAATTTTAGCATTTCTAGATAGCAAAATGATTGAAATCCGAGTGTACATAGTGAGAAAGTAAGTCATAAAAMCGTGAAAATATTGAACTTTGCTCGAAAATTTGCTCATTTTGCTACAATTTATGCTTAAAATTTGGGGATATAGCAACGGTAACTAAGGAAATTCGGGACCATGAATTACTTCCCATAGGTTATCTGTATATTTAAGAGTATCCTTTTTTCAAATGACCGTATTTAAGAGTATCCTTTT